ACTCAATCACCATACAGTAGATTCCTCATTTGTTTTACACAAAAACAACCTTATACTAGGAACAACTGTGATACTTAAGATACTTAAGATGAGAAAAAAGGTAAATAGAAAAGGAAAACATTTAAACTCTTAACGCTAAGAAAAATCACTGAATCAACTTAAATATAATTCTTAATTCCTGTACCACAAAGATTACTTCCTACAGCAATAAATTTACATATATTTTAAATCATACCGAACCAAAATTATGCTATCTTTAATCCCATTCTGTCTTGTTAGGAGGGAAAAGGATTACTTTAAACAAGTTACCAATCATTCTTTAATTTGCACAGCAGCAACACTTGAGTTATCTCAATGTTGCCCATACTCTTCAGTGACTCTGAGACTTTAAAATAAACAAACAAAAAAAAACTCTGAAGACTATTCCCTGAAATCTTGTTCCTGGGATTGAAAATTACGGAAGACTCATCCTGAAAAACAAGGAATTTGGCACAAATGTAAAAAATAAAGGCAAAAAACCCATCAATATTCAAATGGAAGATTCAGTTCAGGAGTTATTTTAAGAACTAAAGCAAAGAAATAAGTTATGGTTTCTTAATCACAGAACCACATCACATTTCTGCAGCATTGCTAAACTTTTTATAAAATACTAATAAAAACCTGTACACCTGAAACTAATGTAACATTGTGTCAACTATACTTCAATTTAAAAAAAGAAAATTAAGTCCCCAAAAAATTATCATATACTCATGATGAGACATGACCCTTAATTTAAAAAAAAAAAAAAGAAGAAGAAAAAGAAGCCAGAGCAAAGCAAGCACTAATAACATTGGAGCTTAAACAAAATTTGACTTCCCCTTCCAAGTTGATCTGGAAACAATCTCATCAATATACAAAGTGAATGTATCAAGTTATCAAGTGAACGCTAGAAGCAATTTGGGGAGAAAAGTACTTAAAGTAAGTAAAATCATTTACAAATCTGTGTATAAATACATTTTCTTTAAAAAATTATGCTACATTTCTGGGGCACCTGGGTGGCTCAGTTGGTTAAGCCACTGCCTTCAGCCCAGGTCATGATTCGAGAGTCCTGGGATTGAGCCCCTCCTTGGGCTCCTTGCTCTGTGGGGAGCCTGCTTCTCCCTCTCCCTCTGCCTCTGCCTGCGGCTCCCCTTGCTTGTGATCTCTCTCTCTCTCACTATCTCTCACTCTGTGTCAAATAAATAAATAAAATCTTAAAAAAATAAAAATAAAAAAATAAAAATAAATAAAAAATTATGCTACATTTCTTAAAAAACTAAGATCCTTCCATAGAAAAGCAATGTAAACTCTGCAAAGTCCAGCAATAACATTTTCTGACCAAGGCAAACTGAGTATTAAAATTTAAGACATGTCATTTGCCTAATAAAATCAAGTAAAGAAATCTGCATCTTAAAAGATCAAAGTTAGTACTTAAGATCCTGTGGTATCAAAGTATTACCTAATATTATTTATTAGGAATTGATACTTGTTTTAATAGCTATGCATACTGTGATTCTAAAAATTAGCTTGATGGAAACAAATTTGATTTGTATACCACCTTCACTCATTCTCCAACCCAAAAAGCCTATTTATACTTTTGAATTGATAAAATCAATACCCAAACCAAAGTATTGAATTTGCTATGGTTATAGAATTCTGAAGAAATCTGATAGTGACTTCCACACCAAAATACAATTCCCTCATTTGAGATGTACTAATTAGCCATTTACTAGACTACAAATGTTGTTTTTTTTTTTTAATTTTTTTTTTTTTAAAGATTTCATTTATTTATTAGAGAGAGAGAATGAGAGACAGAGAGCACGAGAGGGAAGAGGGTCAGAGGGAGAAGCAGACTCCCCGCCAAGCAGGGAGCCCGATGTGGGACTCGAACCCGGGACTCCAGGATCATGACCTGAGCCGAAGGCAGTCGCTTAACCAACTGAGCCACCCAGGCGCCCTAGACTACAAATGTTTTAACATTTCCCAAATCATTAGATCCTAACCAGTTTTTTTTTTAAGATTCTATTTATTCACTTGAGAAAGAGAGCGAGCACTGAGGGAGAGAGAAGCAGACTCCCTGCTGAGCAGAGAGCCCAAAGAGGGTCTCAATCCCAGGACCCCGAGATCAGGACCTGAGCTGAAGGCACACACCCAACCCACTGAGCTACCCAGGTGCCCTGATCCTAACCAGTTTAAAATTTGTTCTTTACCAATCTAAGCAAGTCATTCACCTGCTCCATGATTTCAGGTTCTTTATTAAGTAGCTGGGCAGAATAACCTAAGATTTCTTCCAATTTTAATACACTAAGATTTTTAACTCAACAACTGAATACAATATTTCTCCTATCTTCCTACAAAAAATATGTATGTTAGAAGTATACTTTCATGAAAAAGCTTTGCTTTCTTCCCAATGCTTTAATAATCCCTTGACTTGTCCTTTAATTTGTATCCAAAGATAAGAGCTCAAACACTCACCTAATGAATAGGTTATTAGGAAAATGTCCTGGTCAAGAAACCAAAAATACTGCCCAACTACTGGTATAAAGGATCCTGGGGCTGGGAAAATCACATTTTAAAAAACAAAACGAAAAATTGTATAAACAGGGCCAAATGACATATGAAAGTTTCTAAACCAGGGTACCACTCAATGAGGTAGGATTTATTTGGTTCTGCAGCCAAATCCTCAACTCACTTAAAAATAATATGGTGATATTATGTATAAAGCATCAGATATTCTTTAATTTGACCATGCCCATGTCTAGACAGAGAACAAATATACAAAAAGCAATGAGTTCAAAGAAAAACTGAGCTTAGACAAAATTTTTACGACATTAGACAAATTGATTTTTCCCACTGTATCATTAGTTCCAAGATAAATAAACTATCAAAAAATGCTAAGTGAGGGGCACCTGGATGGCTCAGGTGATGATCCCAGAGTCCTGGGATCCAACCCCACAACAGGCTCCCTGCTGGGGGGCGGGGGAGTGTCTGCTTGTCCCTCTCCCTCTGCCCCTCCCCCTCCACTCAGCTTGCTCAAATAAATAATTAAAAAAAATTCCAGGTGATTAAGGAAAACACATACATTACATTCTGATAAGTCCTCAAGTTAAATTCAAATTGAAACTAACAAAATTAATCCATAAAGTGCTCAACATTTACTTGGGTCCAGTCTTTTTTTTTTTTAAAGATTTTATTTATTTATTTATTTGAGAGAGAGAAAGAGAGAGAGAGAGAGCATGAGAGGGGGGAGGGTCAGAGGGAGAAGCAGACTCCCCGCTGAGCAGGGAGCCTGATGTGGGACTCCATCCCGAGACTCCAGGATCACTACCCAAGCCGAAGGCAGTCGCTTAACCAACTGAGCCACCCAGGCGCCCTACTTGGGTCCAGTCTTAAGAAAGTAAGATAACCAACTAAAAAAATATATCTATAGAGCACCTATTCAAATGTAAAACCTTAACAAAAGAATAAAATCCAGGATCAGCAGCAATAGGCACCCCTGGTACAAAAGCAAAAAAAAAAAATTGTGTCCTCGTGTAAACAGAATTTTTGCCTATAAACCAAAAGGAATCAGACCTAAGTTTTTGAGTATGACTGACCAGTAGGAATAAATTATAGTTTGACAAGATTTTTTCAAAAAGGTCTGCACCCTTTTCAGTATAAACCACCATAAAATTGAGCTTTTATTTCACAATGCCTTAGAAGTTCTACATCATTTACTGTAAAACTTAAGAAATTATTACGTTCCTAAAGAACGTGTCAGTTTTTAAGTTCACTTCCTTCCACATGTTGAGTTAACTTCCCTTCACATTTGATATGGCCTTGGTCATTTGGAAGGTGACATTCAAAGGGTTAAGTGCTAACGTATTCATTCATGGATAAAATAGATTTACTTTCATATCCTATTTTGATCCATTCAGTCCATTTTCTTGACAAGAAGAATATGGATAATGGCATTTTTCCTGTATACTGTAACTGACTTTTTCATTCAGTGGAACTCTGCTTCTTCAAACAACCTCCGTTCACTTCCGGATGCGAGCAACGTTCAATCAAGCTGCTATAGGTCAAGCAACAAGTTGCCCAAACCTAGCTATTTAAACGTAGAATATACTTGTCAACCAGAAGGACACACCATTATGTACACCATGAAAACCTCCCTGAGAGGTTAAAAGCAAAACACTGAGTCCTTTGGACTCTTGGAAAAGTCTGACTTAAAAACCTTTCATAACAAGTTTAAAATAACCATAGTGACATTACAACTCTCAAAGCACACAGTTTTACATGGGCTCTTGTACTAGTCACTGTATAGTGAATGGGGTGAAGCCTTACTAGTTTTAATTTACCCTGTCAGTTAACTTCTAGCTACCAAAAGGCTTAAGCGTCATTAAGTGGGACAATATCAAACACTTATTGTACCTTTCTAGTCCGAAGTCAATTATCCAGAGAAGAAAGTCTTTTTTGTAGTTTATATTAAATGCCTGTGCAATCACCAACTAAGATATATCCCAAGTAAGGTCATTCAGGAACAAGGTCGTTCTTATTTTAAAAGTACAGCCTGATCTCGGGGATGGAAACTCGCATGTAACACACCAGCAGCTAAACAGTGCAGAGCCTCTGCTGAGATTGAAATGCACAAGGCAAGAAGACTCTGTACTTTCCTAACTCAGAAACTTTCCCACCAACTCCGAGTTTCCTGCCAGACACTAAAACAATAACAAGTAGGTAATGCGTTTGTACTAAGATGATTTTCACCACTCCCCCCAGTAGCAAACCTCTTTGGCGACCAATAATTCATATCCTACGTAGGTCATGCCCCAAATTCTAGTTTCAATCTCTTTCAAAAGTTGGCCTCCCACTCCCCCACCCCACGCCCCGCCAGAGCGAACAGTTAAGAGAACGACTTGTAAAGGAGGAATTCGATAAACTGGCTTCACCGAGCCAAATGTAGCTCCAAACCACCGTAAAATAAAGAAGTGGGGCTATACCTGCAGTTCACACCAGGCGACCTCCACTGTAGTTTCAGTGTCCAGACCTTTGTAGACGGTCTTAAAGGATCCTCTGCCAATTTCGATGTCAAACTTGAGAAAGCGGCCATCATTGGACATTCCCACGGCCTTGGTCTCCAGCTCTTCGATATCATCCTGTTGCTGGCTCCGTTCCTCCTGTAGCTCCTTGGCGCTGCCGCCGCCGCTGCCGCTTCTGGCCGACGGAGGCTCCTCTTTGCTCCCCACATGGTTGGGCTGGGACACTTGACGATCTCTGCTGGTACTGCCGGGGGCAGTCGCGGCGGCAGGGCCCGCGCCGGCTGGCTCCCCAGGGGCGGCAGAAGCGGGAGGTAGCTGGGCTACCTGGGCAGCTGCGGTGGCGGTCAAGGTTTCCTCGCGGTGCGGCTCCGGCGGAGTACTCTGCGGCGCGGCCGCGGAGACGGTGGGCTGGGGGAGAGAAAGGGGAAGGCCGGGCAGTTCCAGCGCAGTGGCGTTGGAGTCGCAGATGACGCTGCGGCGGAAGAAGCGGTGCTCGGTGGTGGTCGTGGTCGCGGCCGCGCCACGGCTGTCCTTGTCCATAGTGTGGCGGCGACGCCGGTACTCCTCTGTCCGGCCGGTCCCAGCGTCGGGCGCCGCGCTGCCCAGTTTCTCCCCCACCGAGGAATCGGAGCTGGAGCCATTCTTGGGGGAAGGCGCCGGCGGCGAGAGGAACAGGGAGCTGGGAGTGGTGCTCTGCTTCTCTGCGGCGCCGCCTGACATGGTCGGTCCGCAGAAGCGAGGCGAGCGGGCTCGAACTTGTGAATGAAGAGAGGGCGAGGGGCCGAGCCCGAAGAGCGGCGGAGGTGAGCGGGTCCCGCTACTAAGGCTCCCGCTCCCGGCGGGTACGGATGCACCCGGACGGCTCCTCACTCAGCACTGACAAGCCGCCCCGAAGGAGACGCGGGCCACTGGGCCCAGTTGCGGCGGCTGCTGCGGCTCACGAGGCGGGCTCGTCGGCGGGCGGTCGAGGAGCTGAGCCACGGGGGTTAGCGCCTCACGGTCCGCATCCATCCTGCGGCGAGCGGCGGCCGGGAAGGCTGGAGCAGCAGAGGCGCCGCAGTCATGAGGAGCAGGGTAAAGAGCCGGCACCGAGTCGAAGCGGATGCGGCGGATGCGGCGGCGGCTTCAGCTCCCCGCCGCCGCCGCCGCCGCCGCTTCCCGAGCTGGGCGGGCTAGGCCCCGGGGGCGGCGGCAACGCGAGGAACGGACGAGCACGGACTCCCGAGCGGTGGCAATCCCAGAGCCGAAGAGGGTGGGAGGGGCCGAGGAAGGCGAGGGAGGGCCGGCCCGGGGACTCCCGGTCAGTCAGTCGCCTCCTCCCACACGCGCCCCCAGCTAGGGGGGACCAGTCTCACAGGGCGCCCATCGCCCTGACGGGAAGAGCCGAAGCCTCGAAGCCTCGGTGCCTGAGGAGCGGGCCCCCCCTTCCCCGAGGCCTCCCCGCCCGCCCCGGGCCTGGCAAACCCCCGTCTCCTCCCGGGCCGGTGCCGGGGGCTGACAGAGGGAGGGAACGGTGGGGAGGGGAGGGCCGCTCACCGCGGGGCCCGAGCTCCGCGGCTTCTCTGGGCCGAGAGTAGAGGAGACCGATAGGACTGGGTGAAGGGAGTTAGGGAGAGGAAAGAGTAGTCACCCCCACCAGGCTCCTTCTGTCACCGAAGATGGGGGTGCAGAGTGGCCGAGCGTGGAGAGCCGCGTCCGCCGGGAAACTCTCCGCGCTAAATGGCGCCGGGCGTCTGAAACCTCCACACAGCCCGCTCGGACCCCGCCCCCCGCCGCCCGGGGCGCCCCACCCCCACCCGGCTCTCGGGGCTCTTGCGCAGGCGTGCTAGTACCGAGGCTCCCTGGGATTTGTAGTTCGTGCCTGTGAAGCATGAAAGGGATTGGGGAGGAGGGAGCCTACGACTTCCGTGATGCTCTGTGGTCGCTTTAACCTGATGCCTCATGGGAGTTGTAGTTTTCTTTGGAAACCGCCCCTTCTGGAAGGCTGACGGGAGCGTCACCGTGGGTCGCTAAACCCCATCCTTAAGTCAACGCTAGCTAGGAAAATCATTATTTAGGGTTTAATTGTGGAAAAAGGGCCGGAAGAAAAAAAAGAAGAGGGAGGCAGGACGAGAGGAGAGACTCCCGTCATGCACTGCTGAGGCGAGAGAGCGCTAAGAGGTTGCCATGCAATGAAAGATGATCTGTTGTTCATCTTTAATGGAGAGAGCCGCAGTAGTGTTGAGTGTAGGGGTGTAGGAGTGGAGAAGGAAAGCAGAGCAAAGAGAACCAGAACCTGAGCTCAGAGAGCCAGAGGGGCTGAAGACTCCTTCCTAGGGTAAAAGAAATTTTGTGAAAATTGTGCATGGAATTAATAGTGATGAAATGGGTTGCGGGAGGAGACAGGGAGTGTTACCTCCTCTCCTCTTCCCTTCCATAACAAATAAGGCCACACTCTCAGCTCCAGCCCCACGATAGATATTCTGGCTTTCAAAGATGGGCTGCCCTCCTGAAATCCAGGAGCATATTGAATCTTTTGCTATGCCAGAAAAAAATTAACGGTGCGGTGAGCGAAGATTCGAGAAAAAAGAAGGTCCACGTATCTTTGCGTCTTTTACCACAAACTTGGGAGAGCCGAGTTGACTTTTGCTATGTAGTCGATTGAGCTTAATTTCCATCTTTCATTTGCCTGAGAGCTTAGTAAAACAACATCCCCTTTCCCTAGAGGTACGTGAATGTACACATGTAATTTATAGCAGGGCTTTGGACTTGGAGGAAATCTAGATCCATGTAGTTCACAGTAATGGAATGCTTTCCTTGAAAGCATCCTTAGGCTCTCTGGACCCCTTTGCTCCTCGCAACTACTCAAGATTGTGCAGGTGATGAGCACCAGGGGGCACCAGACAGAGTGGGAAGCCAGACCAGTCAGATGGCAGTTAAAAGTTTTAGCCCACCGGGTAAGAGCGGGAAGATCTTAAACGTATGCAACCGCATCAGAGCGTCCATAGACTTCTGCCTCTCGTCAGCGCCCGCTATAGAACGAACTCAGAAGCACACTTCCTAACCGAGCGCCCCACTAAGAGTACGAGTAGTTTGGAAGCAACTTGACAGAAGATTCGTTAGCACCAGTTTCCTAGAAAATGCCCACAACTTATCGGGATGAACTCCACCTAGAGAAGATTTGTTATATAATTTATATGATATGTGAAAGAGTTAAACTGTTTTCAATTTTTCCTCAAAAGCTACTTTCAGGTTTACAAAAAAGTTGGTTTTAAAAACAAAGGTTGTTAGGTTTCAAAAAGCTAACAGATTATGAACACTTTAAAATATGAATTCAGGGGCGCCTGGGTGGCTCAGTCGTTAAGCGTCTGCCTTTCAGCTCAGGTCATGTTCCCAGGGTCCTGGGATCTAGCCCCGCGTTGGGCTCCCTGCTCTGGGGGAAGCCTGCTTCCCCTCTCACACTCCCTTTGCTTGTATTCCCTCTCTCGCTGTCTCTCTCTCTGTCAAATAAATAAATAAAATCTTTAAAAAAAAATAAAGTAAAATATGAATTCAGTGAGGGCAACTAGAGTACACACTACCAAGGCCCTTGACAATCATGCCTTATCAACATGTTTTTTCAACAACAAACAATTAAGTTCATTATAAATAATTAACTGTTGAGGTAAAGCCACTCTTGCCCACCTGACAGCTTTTCCTACCGGTGTAACATTAGCTTCACTATGAAAACAGGTACAACTTTATATTGAATATAACCATATTGTGTACAATGGTTGGATTTAAAGGTTAAACTGTTTATTTGCCAAGTTCCCTTTTTAATGCTTACCAACTTCCAATTAACATGATATTTTCTGTTACTCATTACTATAATATCCCTAATAATACTTTTCCTTTCTCTGTCATTTCAATTATCAAATAAAGAATTGATCCCCCTATAATCCATATGAAACATCAAGTGGCATAAATAGAAGCAGCAGGAAAAACTCAAGATACCATAGACACACTAAGCTTAGAGATTTTAGTTCCTGACAGGTGGATCCATAAGAATAATACCAGTATTGTTATTGGCTCTCATCATGTTCTTTGTTCACTTTAGTCCTTGTTCATTTTCTCAAACTGAGTCATGTTTCTATTTCCCATCAATTCACATTTTACGTATACATGGTCCCCGCCACTGGTGACTGGCTAGTAATGAAACCAGAAACAACTTTGATTTAGACAGTGACTGAACATACAAAATCTACCTTATTTTGTATGTGGCATAATTCATAGTGTAACTTCTTGAAGTACAGGGGAAAAAAACACCATCTTGAGAACATTTCTTTTTTTGTCTCCTTTCTTTCTTTTCCCATGCCTATGGATATTTCTAATTTTACCTCCCTGTCATGTGGAACTCAAGGAAGAAGGGAAAGTCAGGCAGTTAAACAATGAAGAAGAGAGTTTTTTTAAACCTTTTATAGTATAAATGAAATAACGGGGAAGGTGGAACTTGCCCTATATCAAAGCATATCATAAAACCATAGACTAAATGTATGACATTGAGATAAGCATAGATAATGAAACAGAAAAGATAATACAGAAACAGTCTTATGTATATATGGGAATTTTGCATATGAGGAAGATGGCATTTCAAGTCAGTGGAGAAAGGTTAAATAAACTAGTTTGGACAACTAGTTATTCATTTGAAAAACAAATTAGGTTCCATGTCTACCCCCCTACCCTTCACAAAATTAATGTCCACATAGTTTAAAGACTAAATTTTCAAAATAAGCTCTAAGAATATTTAGAATCTAGGAAAATATGGGATAGGAAGGGACATCAAAGAACAACCCAAGAGCCATAAAGAAAAATATTTGACTATTTCAAAATTGACGATTCTGTTCAATAGAATACAAATGATGAGCTGACGGAAAAATTTTGAAACCTGTGTAGCAAAAGACTAATATTCAAAATATATATAAATAACACCTTAAATCACAAAGGATAATACAATCCTATAGAAACAGGGGACAGGGGCTCCTGGGTGGCTCAGTTGGTTGGGCGACTGCCTTCGGCTCGGGTCGTGATCCTGGAGTCCCGGGATCGAGTCCCACATCGGGCTTCCTGCTCAGCAGGGAGTCTGCTTCTCCCTCTGACCCTCTTCCCTCTCGTGCTTTCTATCTCTCATTCTCTCTCTCTCTCAAATAAATAAATAAAATCTTTAGAAACAGGGGACAACTGAGACAGGAGGAAATCCAAATGACAAAAATAAACTTTAAAAAAATGGTGGAACTCAGTAACTAAGGAAGTGCAAATTAAAATAAGATATATACTTTTCCCTTATAAAACTGGCAAAAATTTTAAGCATTTATAATATCAAGTGTAGGCAAGGGTTTGGAGAACTCATGTGCTATTAATGATAGCATAAATTAGAAAAACATTTTTTTGAGGGTAATTTGTTAGTACTTACTGAAATGTACAACATGCACAGCCTTTGAGCTAGCAGTTTCCCTTCTTGGTATCTGCCTTCTAGAAACACTGGCATGTATGCACTAGCAAATATGTATAAGAAGATCCACTATAGTTTTGCCTATAACAAGAAATTGAAACAGTCTGTGTGTGGTTAAACTATAGTATATCTAATTTTGGGAACATCATGCAACAGGAGAAGAGAAGGAGGTAGATATATATGTAGTGGCATAAAAATAGTAAGTGAAAAACTCAAGTTGCTGAATTATGTGTACTAGATCATATGTTGTATTTTTAAATTTTTGTTTCTATATGTATTTCAGTGCACACAGTAAAAGTATGGGCAGTATACACCAAAATGAAAAGCGGGAGGCTACTTCTGGGGAGTACACTTATCTATATTGTATGAATTTCTTAATATATTCTCACTTATTGCAGACAACTTGAAAAATACAATAGAATATGAAAGTACAAAACCCCAGCAACTCTACTAGCCTTTGAGATATCAGCTTTTGCATTTGACAAAATACAGCATTGGACATTATATTGGACAGCATTATATTGCATACAATACAGCATTATATTACACAAAATCCATTTTGAAAAAAACCCTCAACAGAGTAGGGATAGAGGGAACATACCTCAACATCATAAAGGCCATGTACGAAAGGCCCATAGCTAACATCATCCTCAATGGGGAAAAACAGAACAAGAACAAGACAGGGATGTCCACTCTCACCATTGTTATTTAATATAGTACTGGAAGCTGAAGCCTCAGCAATCAGGCAACAAAAAGAAAAAAGCATCCATATCAGCAAGGAAGAAGTCAAATTTTTCATTTGAAGAAGAAGTCTCTTCTTCATTGTTTAACTGCCTGACTCACCCTATTCACAGATGACATGATACTTTATGTAGAAAACCTGAAAAACTCCAGCAAAAAATTGTTAGATCTGGTACAT